TGGTTACCCACACTGGTGCCCACAATCTTGTAGAATGTCCTGTCACACCATAAAGCTTCTGTGTGGCTTCTGGTACTCCTTCGTGATCTTAACACCTTGATGCTCACAAGAGTTTACTGAGACGCTCAACACCAACCACTATTGGTCTCCTTGAGGCTGACTTGTTGGTAATATTCCTCCTACACTGGCTCCTCAAATGTCCGTGAACGTTCGTAAGTGTCAACGATCGTTCAGCAAATTTCGTTCAGGTGACTTTAGCCTTAAAAACTGTGATGGTAGGGGCCGACATGTTGGAATTGATATTGATGCTCTGATGACGCTTGTCTAACCCAAGGCAACACACACGTGAAATGGTCCTGAAATTGTATGTCTCTCATGAAACAATATGTAAACATCTAAGGAATATGGGGAAACTACATAAATAATGTGTGTGGGTGCCTCACGAACTCTCTGATGATCACCGTTTCCAATGTTGGTTGCTTCATCTACTCTGGTGCGTAATGTGCGTGAACCATTTTTGTACACAGTTGTCACCTGTGATAAAAAATGGGTTCTTTATGCGAATATTAAACGCTAAAAACAATGGCTCAGTCCTAGTCAAAAAACACTTCAAATCCCTAAACCTGGACTCCATCTGCAGAAAGTGATGCTTTGCATTTAGTGGGACATCAAAGGAGTAATTCATTTCGAACTCCCCAATCCACAGCGAACTGTCAATGCAGAGATCTATAGTCAGCAACTGCAACGTTTAAATCAAGCCCTTCATCAGAAACGCCCTTCACTCGTCAGTCGAATAGGTGTTCTTCTCCACGACAATGCACGTCCACATGTAGCACATTTGACGCAACACAATATTATGGAGTTGGGTTGGGAAGTTCTCCCCCACCCATCTTATTCTCCAGATATGGCACCATCAGATTACCATTTTTTCTTTCGCTGCAACACAGTCTTAAATGGGAAAACGTATGCAAATGTAGAAGGTGTTAAAGAAGACATCGACATGTTTTTTGCTTCAAAGTCAAGTGATTTCTTTAATCAGGGCTTTAACAACTTGATTGTAAGATGGAAAAGCATCATCGATAAGAATGGACACCATCTCATTTACTAAGTGTTTTGTTTTGATATATATATGTTGTTCGGGTTTTTTCATCTAAAAATAAGCGACATTAATTTCTTGACGACCTAATGCTTTTCAGATTTTGCTATATATTTCATAAAATTTCCAGTTTTTTTCGTTTAAACGCAACATATGTATAAAAAATACTTTAAAACTTCCTGTAATATTCCAGGGGGCCAAAGGCTCATATTTGTCATTTTATTTTGGTAATTGTCAAAGGGAACCTGGTGGTGGAGGTACACCGTAGTATATATATATATATATGTTGTAGTTTAGCTGTGATAAACTTATATTAGTTAAGTAAAGTAGATATAAAGATTTAGTCATCTTGTAGAACAGCTTATACATGTACTGTTTAGATGTAACTTTATATGTTTATTTTTCAGTAACTGTAAACAGTAAAGGTATGTTTACCATTACTGTTACAAACTAATAAAGTAAGCGTGAGACAATATTTTTTTGTTATAATTAGCGTAATTACTGTACCAGTCTCTGAAAGTCAAATGTAAAAATTACAATTTTCAATGTTATGTAATTGTATTATAATAATATTATTAATAAGGTACTACAAAATTTTAACAGTGCAGAATTTCTCTATGAATAATGAAACGTTCCTTAAATTAATCCATGTAATTACATAACACTACTGTAGGGTTAATTTTAGTTTTACTATTCGTGGTATTTAACTTTGTTTCTTTTCTCTGGTTTTGTTTTAACTTATAAGGCAACAAGATAGTATTAGTAAAGCTGAATACTGAAATGTTCTTGGTAATCATTTTATCTTCCAGGTAATCCGAAACTTTCTGAATTACTTTAGTCTCAGATATTGTGATGAAGGAAGATTCATCAACACACAGAAGCAAGGTAAGCAAACTGCTGAACATGAATATAAATTATAATTAAAATTAAAATGGAGTGTGTGTTTATTATTGAGACCATGAGTATGAATACAAATTGAGTTTATCAAGCATACAGTACAAGATATAAGATGAATGTGCTGATGAATAATAGCATTATGTAGAAATCATGTCAAGAACTGAAAAACTAATCTTATTTCATAGTGAAAAATACTCTACATTAGATTTACATATAGTGAGAAAAGCCCCCCCCCCCCACTACCACCAATTTAAAGAAAAGTACAACAAGGAACTATTTGTGTCCTTCAAGGCTGTCCCTACACACAACCCTTTCAGAAAAAGTAGCAAACAAAAGTTATTCACCCATTATTTTTCAGGAAATTATCAATTCCCATTTAAAGTTCTTTTCAGTTGTCAGGCTTCACCATTGCTGACAAAATTTTCATTCCATAAATTGGTTACCCTGTTAGAAAAATAAAACTGCTTTAATTGGATCCTAGCTCATCTTTTTCCTATCTTAAGTTTGTGTTCTCTCCTCATATTATCTTCAGAATATAGTGCAAAGAAATCAGAGGCATTTAGCCCATTTATCCTCCAGACAATCTTGTATGTTTGAGTAAGATAATATCTTATTCTTCTTTTCTCAAGAGAAAATAAGAAAGAGATCTTGACCTATTCCCATAAGTTAACCCTTCCATCCTCAAAGTCATCTTAGTAGCCCTACACTGAACCCATTCCAGTAAGTCACAGTATTCCAAGTGAGACCTAACTAGTGATTTATACAGAGAGATTATTACTTTTCATGGCTTGTTGTCAATATGGTCCAAAATTCTGTTACCTTTGTTACTAGCAACTAAAGATTTGTGTGACTTCTTTTCACTGTATTTAGTCCTTCAGTCACACTATCTAATAGATTCGTATTCTTTATTAACATGTGGTCGAAATCATGATAACTCAAATGTAATATTTACTGTAATTAAAGGTCATTTACCAAATATTTCCCCAAATAACTAATTGATCTGGTACATTTTTTGTACTACAACACCCTGAATACTGCTAGAAATATTCAACACCTTGAATACTGCTAGAAATATTCAACACCTTGAATACTGCTAGAAATATTCAACACCTTGAATACTGCTAGAAATA